CCTTCGAGTCCGGAGCATATATAATGAAACTCAACCTGACCTTTGACCTGCACTGAGCAGTCACATCATGCCTTTATATTAATCTATGGAGGGATGGACCCAGTGGGAACACAATCACAGGTCAAAGTTCAGTTTGGTGACTTAACAAAGCCTTTAAAGGACGTCGCAGCGCAATATTAAGAGAAATTACTGGAAGGTTCTCAGAGCTATAATTACTCTGTGAGTGGGCTCTGGAAATGGAGGAGCAGGGAAGGATGTGAAGCTGAGAGAACTGTGCCACACAATCGTCGAGCGAGTGAGAAGGGAAAGACAAGGAGAATGAGCAAAAATGTTCTTTATAAAACCTCTTGGTCTGATTATTATTATTATCATCATCATTTTGAACCTGTATTTTTCATAGAGAGTGAACAGAGAGGTTTTTTTTAGAAACATTTTTGCTGCACTTAAGATGATAAGTGCTCCTTGTTTCTCTTGGTCATGTGACTCTTAAAAATATATTAAAAAAGGAAGGAAGCAAAAAGGTATAATTTGTCCTGGTCAGTAAGTACCTCCAGTACGTAACTGTCTGCTTCATCGTCCTCAATCTCACCAACATCCCTCTCTACCTTCATCTTTTGCCTTCATTTTCTTAGATTAAAAAAACCCGTTCATCCGTCTCTCCATCCTCACTTATCTACACGTGTCCGTCCTTCCGTGTCGTATCTCCTGCTCTGCCCTCTGTTACCTGCCCCCCCCCCCCGTATCCACTCTGTTCCCGTCCTCCATCACACCTTCCTTCTGCATATTCTTACCCTGAGGCTAAATCCTTGTCTCATCCGACCATTTCGTCTCTGTCACACTGCCCCCCCCTCCTCCTCCTCCTCCTCCTTCATCCCTTCTCCCACCACTCACTCTCTAGCCTTTTCTTTCCCTGCAGCTCTGTCGACCAGACAAGGCGTCTGAGTGCATGTGTGTGTGTGTGTGTTACACTGATCTCAGCAGACACCTGTTCTACCAGCACTCCATATGCCACCTTGCCTCCCTCTCTCTCTCCCTCTCTCTCTCTCTGTGCACACACACACACCCGACCACACACAGTAAGGGAATGAGTGGAGAGTGCGAAGCAAAACGCTTCAGTGAATAATTTAAGTCACTACAGCAGGAGACCAAAATGGAGCCTGTCAAACTGACAGATCCATTGAAACACAAAAATAAAGCAGACAGGTCACTCTCTCTCCGACCTGCAGTCCCACACACACTCTGCCGGGAAACGACGCAGTGACTAATGACTCTCCCTTGTCGCTCGAGATTTGAATTACAATAACCTTTGTCGGGCGAAAGCGCTGATTACACAACATCCCTCACCTCAGTTAGGAACTGTAAGGTGAGTCAATATTCCCTCAGTTTGGCGCTGCGGCAGTACTGTCGATGGGAGTTTGGTTCAGACAGAGTTCAAGTATTGATCGACTTTATTTGAGATTCACCTGAACTGCGCTCCTTGTGGCGTAGACTCAGCATGACAGCGTATAAAACCAGCCCGAGGCATTCATAAAAATGAGGGGTGGGGTAAAAAGACCTTCGGGGTGAAGCTGTCTATTAAGTGTCATGATGGTGATGAAGACAGAATTTGAACACAATGAATCAGACAATGAATCAGACTGTAGATCAGCAACATCCATCCACCTATCACGGCTCTCATTCACTGCATCTTCTAAATGCAACACACAAAATTACAGCCAGAGAATTGAATTAAAAACAGTTTGAGGTTAAACGTGTTTGTAAACCAACTGGTTTGACCCTTTTTTTATACAGTTTGTTTTGTTTTTAAAAGGGTACAAAATAGTACTTTTCCATAGGCTGTTGAATTTTACATATTAATCTGAGCAAATCAGTTCACAGTTGATTCATTTATGACTGTCCCATGTTCTCTAACACAGGTTTTGGATTCTGATGTCAGAAAGTCCAGGAAGGAACGACTGACTGACTGACTGACTGACTGACTGACTGACTGACTGACTGATTGACTGACTGACTGACTGACTGACCACTGAAACCTCTGGAAAGCGACAGTTAAAACGTACTCACATATAGAGCGAGCATGTCGCTGTGGCTGTTAACGGTGACAAACGATTACAAATGTTCTCCCACAGCTCCACCCCCGCAGTCATAGCACATTAGCCAATGGGTTTGTCCATTTCTGTTACACGACCTGTGTGTTACACTTACAGTTCAATGGCTTTGTTCCACATGATGACGTAGCCTGAGAGCATGAAGGACTCCACGTTGACGATGTGGATGTTCCCTCGTTCGGTGCCGATGTACAACCACTTACTCTGGAAGGGCAGGTGACAGTAAGTTATTCTGCAGAAAGACAGAGGAGGAGGACAAGTGTTAGAGTTAGAGTGAGACCAGTGAAGAGACGGGAACCTACAGGATACACAGAGGCCACAGACAACCCATAATTCTCCTGTGTTCATCACCAACCCCCTGTGACTTAGTCCTTTTAATGCATTCATCAGACTTAAACTTAATGAGGTTATAAAGACATTCCTCCATATCCGGGGCCGTCCATTCATCTTCCCTTTTCATCTTTTTGTTCCTTCATCTATCTTCCCATCCATCCTCCAAACCATCGAAGGAATAATAATGAGCGACCTTGGTCACTGCGCTTGCTAATATTTCAAGGTCGTCGAGCTCGTCCAGCCATCCTCGTTGACTCTGCAGGGTGTTTGAGTGACAAGTGTGGATGTAAGGGATGTGTCTTCAGCACAACGCTGTGAAGTTTGACATTAAGTCACACCTTCTTATACAACAATAAAAAAGACACACCTAACACTAACCAATCAAATCAGTCCTTTAGACTATGAGCTGAGCTCCGACGCCAAGAACGTTCAACAGTTTCTTTTCGGCTGTGGAGGTTGTTGTGTTCATGTTGTGTCCATTTCTACTGTGGAAATTTTGGATAAATTCAGCTTTTGATTTCCACGGTCAAATGACCACAGACTGGACCATTCTGTCCACAGACCGCTATTTGTTTAGCATAAGAAAATGATTAGCGACCATGTTTTCAGCGCTATCAAAAACCTGTCCATTTTTAGCTAGCTGGTTAGATGCTAGTTTGAGGAGCAGAGCAGCTTGATAACAGGCTGTTTTTTTCTCTCATCTTCCTGAGCACTTGAATAACTACTGTTCCGGGGTGTTCTCTGAGCCGCCACAGCTTTAAAGCCAATACATAATGGAAATATACCAATATTCCGACTTAAGAAATGCCACTTTCTATCCTTCCATTAGCATGTGTCCTTGCAGCAGCCTGAAGTGCAGGAATACCTTGACTTTGTTTTATGCTCAGTGCGCTTCTTTCTCCCCGGCCTTCCACATGAATATATTCATACTTTTCAGGCAACTGGAGACGGATCTCATCCACACTGTACAAAGTGTGAGTACACAATGGGACGGAAAAGACAAACACAGCAGACTGGCAATCAAAACAGACTCATTAAACAAACTGCGATGTAATCAACAAGCTCCTTCAAATACGGAGCAACGCTGATTTAAATCCCATTAGGGAGCAGCATGGATTGACTTTATTTTAAAACACAATCTCCGGATGAGGAAAATATTGGATTACATCAACATGGAATTGTAGATCGGCCCCAATTTGACACTGTTTCCTTTTTTTTTTTCTTTTTTTAAGTCAGATCGGTGTATGTGAAAGCTGATTCCGCTCGACTTTAATGCACTGAAGAATAATTCAACAAAGCTCCTCGTTCAAAGATATTACAGGAATCAGTTGAATTTAATCAGGAACTTTGTGAGGAATCAGTTGAATTTAATCAGGAACTGATGGAGAGTGATTTCTGTCGCTTCGATCAAACATTCAAGTTCTTTTTCCAAACAACTCCCTGTAGAAAATAAGATGATTTTCTTTCCAAAATCTTCCTCAAGTGATTAGGACTTTCAATAACACACAGATGGGGACGGGACCACGTCCACTCCTCCAAGCCCCTCACCCCCATTTAGTCCACCTCACACCTCCCTGTATTTATGATATAATTCTAATCTGCGTCCCATTCCTGTGAGGCCACAGGGCGACAACAGCAACCTCTGCCAGAATGACTCGACAGGATTTTTCTTTTGCGTTGCCGTCATGTCCACACTCCTGCACAGACTGACTCACAGTTCTCTGGCTGAGGCCCAGTCTGTTCCATCTCCACCTCCTCCTCCTCGTCCCACCCCTCCTTCTCCTCCTCTTCATTTCTCTCCTTGCCCACCCACCCTCCCCCTTCCTGGATATCAAGGATGGAATAAGTGAAAAGAAAAGGAAAGAGGAGGGACGGGAATGGAAGACAGAGAGAAAGGAAAGAGGAAGTGAAGAAAGGAAGGTTAGTAGGAGAGACAGAAAGAAGGAAAAAGGCAGAAAGAAAAGAAAGAAAGGAGAAGAAGGAGAATGGAAGTCAGGATTAGTGAAGATAATAAATGGAAGAAAGTTTTGAAAAAGATTAATGCGATTAAAAAACAAAAACCTAAGAAAGATTAGCTTTCATTCCTGGGTGTTGTCTAATATTAATGGGGAGAAACAATTTACTGATTTAAATTTACATTTTACTTAGTTAATTCACTCAGATCCAAAACCAAGCCAAAGTTCTGTGCATCTTTTAAACAATCATAAAGTTCTCTGTGTTTTCATCACCGAGCCACACCAACATGGAGTTCATCTTTCATGTCAGTTTCCCAGTCTGAGGCTGACGGCAGCACGGACGGCGTCGTCTCTGAACACGGTTGGACACGTTGGGTGATGCAATCTCCACCCTAGTCTAAGACGACGATCCTGAGGAAGTTCCTGTATCGCAAAGTGGTCTGTAGTCAGGACCAGATCCAATACTAGCATCAGAATCAGGCCCGATACTTCATCAAAATTCTGTCACTCCGAAGGCTAATATTAGGAGCCTAGTTAATCTTCGACCAGCTGTGGGCAAACCTTTGACTCGCGGGCCACAATGGGTCCTAAAGTCTGACGATGGGTCAGGATCAGACAGATGGAGGGTTCGTACAGTATGAACTAAAACAAATGACACGTAAAGGTCAGTCATCATCCATTGGGGAAATGTGGGGATTGCAGGGGAGAAGCAGAAATATAATGAAAATGTAAATTAATAATGTTATTTGGAAAGGTTTAGTGGGCCGGATTAAAAAGCCAAACTGGCATTAGGAGTTCACTGCACATTTACTTATTCTGCCACTTAACAAATATTTAAATAAAGGATAATTGAAAACCATGGGCATATTTAAATAAAGGATCATTTAAAACCATGGTTTTGGTCCTTTTCCTTTTTTTAACTAATACATTTTCATTCTGTTCTTCTACTTTTTTCCTCTTCAGAAAGTCGATTTTCTGGAGCTCCACTTCTTCTCTAACTTCCCTTTGTCCACAAGTCCTCTGTGACTTTGCAGCTTTGTTTTGTGGCCGCACCTCCGCTCCTCCATGAGGTTGCGTGTCAGGTCTGCTGCGGTGCTTTCTAAATGTCAGGGGCGGTCAAGCGGCACTGAAACAACACAACCTTCCTTCAAAGCTGCTGCTGTTGGCCACCTTTCCATCACATCAGCAATGTCACAGATCATTGCCTCTGACGTTTAACCCGTGAATCTTTATCACAGTGACAGATCCATGGCCAGTAATCACTGCATGATGGGTAATCACTGCATTTGTGACGTGAGGAGAAGGGACACCGAGCTTCCTGAGGGAAAATGGTTTCGCATGACACTCCTTCCAGCAGGAAGGATGGATTGGTCCGATCTTTTGTGTCTCCACAAATAGTTTCTTTTCCCCGTGTGCAGCCTGGACTAAGCTGTGTTTAACTGTCCTTCCTTTCAACCAGATTCACCGCAGAGCCATACAATTATTGACCTTCCCCGACCTCATGTTGTTTATTAACTGAAGTTTTTATCATGAAAAGCTATGGCTGAAAAAACAAAACATGACATTTAGAAAAATCACTGGTTAAAAGAAAATAATTCCTCATTTAAAGACAGCAGTAAATTAGCTGTGAACCTCTAACTTGGAGGAAAAACCAAAATAAATATAGATTTTTCTCTTCAATGAGAAAAAGAAACTCACTGAAACATTAATAAATTCTTCCTGTTGGTTTCCTACTGGAAACGCTATGTTAAATTATTCTCTACCACAGCCTTGTTGGTGTTACTCTTCTATGGTATTTCTGGCCTGTTGACCAGGCTGTTATAAACCAGGTCGTACTGTGGTAGTATTTTAATTCTTTCATGAAAACTTGAAAGTCCATAGTTTTTTTTCATCCCAAGAGAAGTGAGGAGAGGTGAAGAAGAACACCAGCAGCAAGAAAAATAAAAATGAAAAAGAAGAAGTTGAAGAAGGCAGAAAAAGAAAGAGGTGAAGAAGAAGAAGGAAAGGAGGAGGAACCAAGATGAAGATGAGGGAGAAGAAGAGAAGTAGAATTTGTTGTATGTGATTAAACTGCATCATTAGTAATAATGTCAACGTTCAGCTGCAGCTGCAGCTGCTGAGAACACAGAGTGCTGGTGTTTCTGCTCTGTTTTCTCCAACAGTGTAACAACCTGCTGGTAGAAAAACCTTCAGCTGTTTACACCTGTGGCCCTGAGTGGGAGAAGCCTCAAAGGCGAAGCAAGTGACCCACATAATGAGTGTTTGCTTCAGGGCCGGGAGAGGGAGGGGGCGAGAGAGAGAGAGAGAGAGAGGGAGAGAGCATCAGCCTTTTTGTCTCCTCCTTCTTTTTGCCCTGCACACGGTTCTGCAGGCGTGCGGACACCCTGCCAAATACAATGCCGTCTGTTTGCATAGAGTCTGACAGTGACGGCAGCGACAACTAAGACTCACATGGGCAGCAAACTGACACCCCCCCCCCAACACCCACCTCCAAGAGCCACAGATCATGTGGCACCAGAGCAAATGAGGGAGAGAGAGAGAGAAAGGGAGAGAGAGAGAGACTGCATTTATTTTACCTCTCTCTGTTAAACTTAAGGGAGTGAAGGATGGCCGGTCTCTTCTGCCTCAGGTTCCACAGATGGACGCTGTCGTCGGCCAATGCGCTCACCAGTGCCCCCTGTGAGAATACAGGAGACATTTCAACCACCATTCACCAACCTTAATGATGTGAAGACGTTCTGCAAAAATTCCTTCCAAAATAGAAATAAAATAACACGGGCATCACTGTTGGCAGAGCGTGTCACCTGCGTTACATTCACGCCAGCGTCACGTCCTACGACAGCACAGTTTGTCTTAGTCAGTGACGTGCATTAGTCAGACTTCAGTCTCTGAGAATTGAAAAGGGGTTTAAAAAAAGGGAAGACATTCTCTCAGGTATCGATGATGATTCACAGGACGTCTGTACGAGTCTACGTGAGTGTGTAGGAGGCACTAATAATCCTCTGCCTCTCCTTCGGGGGAGACGGAGGGAGACGGGGGGGGGGGGGGGGGGGGAGGTAAAGTTAACAGCCATCACGCTCGGGCTCCAGCCTCTGATTTAACACTTTAATTAAGCAGATTAAATTATCTCCGCTGCACCATTATCAGGAGCTGAACTGAGGCTCGGGCTTGAGGTTAGAACGCATGAATAATTCATGGTAAACTACAGATGATGGCTGTTCATATGTAAACCAAAAAAAAAACAAAAAAAAAAATTTGCTGCTTGACTTTAAACTATTAGACACAACGTAGGCTGAGCTGCTGTAAGACTAAGACGGGTTTACTGTAAATTTTCCCAATGCATCATGGTAGGCTGAGCTGCTGTAAGACTAAGACTGGTTTACTGTAAAATTTCCCAATGCATCATGGGAAGCAAAATCCGCAATGAATGCATTCAAACAGTTAACCAGAGTAGTGTGCAGTGACATCACCTGCGGTCCATTTCTTGTGAACATTTTATTGTAAACTCATGAAACAAATAGAAATTCTGAACCATTTGTTCTTCCACCGACACACGATAGAACTCGGATTCTCAATTTTAAATTAATTTTACCAGGGATTAGCATCGCAGTGTTAGCCCAAAGTCTACAGATTAAGTTTGGATGATAACATTTTAATTAAATTTGTTTTTTCACCTGAGGATCATCCTTTCTCCGTCAGCCCACATCACCCTCGGCGCGAGTGCAGAAATGGAACAGCGTAAGCGTTTTATTAACTCACCTCATTGATGAGAAACTGCAGCTGGATGACGGCCGCTCCGCTCTCGTGCTGACAGTAACACTCCACACCTGGACGTCCGAACCTGCAGCGTTCTTAGTCAAGGAACACATGACGGTATTCGTGGAGAGAAAACTCAAGGTCTGGAGAGGATTTTCTGCATGTGCTACAACTGCACTGAAGGTACAGCATGATGTGGTGCCAGGGAACGGTACTTGACCCTTTTAAGGTTGTCCACTCATCGCTACACAAGATCCAAAGGTCATAGCATCTGTTAGCTGGTAACCGAGTGGAAAAGAAAATAGGACATCCATCCTGGCATTTTTATGGTCTACCAACACAGCACGGATGTTTTCATCACCCAGAAAAGAGGGAGGACTCTGGCCTTTAAGATGTGGTTGAACTGAACCACTTATTTGCTTGAAACATTTTTTTTACATCGGATTCTCTGAATTCCAGCCTGTCGTGCTAACGGTTGCTACACCCAGAGCCTCAGCGATCCTCACCTGTCCTGGAAGAAAACACAAAGACACAAACTATGCCAAAAAAACAAAACAATCTTTGGTTCATCCGTGTAGCATTTCGAGCACAAGTTCTTAAACTAGAGCCACATGGATCCAATGACCAAACAGTTGAGGAGAGTTTAGGAATAAGTCACAATGACTTGCAAATAGTGCTGTTGAACAGAAAGAGAGATAAAGTAGTGAGAGTCGAGCCACGGTAAAGGAAAGTGCAATAATCAATAAACTGATGAAAAATGCAGAGGTAAGAGAAGATTGGTGGACAGGGGGGATGGAGGAGGGTG